CTGAAACAAGTACAAGTAATACGATATAAGTGTGACGTGGTATTCACGTGTAATAACGTATTCTTATTTAGCTAAAAACGTGTATGATTCTATCTGTGATACAAATAAACTTAATTTATAAAGATAGAGAAGCCTTCCTTATCTATTAATAATAAAAACAAAGAAATTTCAATATATTCTGATTGTATTTAAGGAGAAACCTTCACGAACTTACCCACAACTATTGCTTTTTTTGTTTTTTCAGTTTTTTCAAAAATCTAAGCGTGTTATTTTGTTTTCTTCAAATTATTTTGTTTATTTCTTCTTAATATTCATTCTTTCAAGTTTTGATATATTTTGTTGACCTTTCATGATACCTTTTATCTCATACATATTTATTATCAAGTGATATTTGACTATCATCCTAAATAACTAGCAATGGTTTTTATATATTTCGTTGACCTTTCATGATACCTTTTAAGGAAGGTATATGGTATAAGTTTCAGATAAGCTTTTTTTAGATATATATTTAAAATTTCATAATTTTAATGTTAGAAATTTTTATGCTAGAAATGAATGAATAGAAGGAGAAGGAATTACTACTAGTCAGTGAACATCCTTTAAGGAGGATTCATGGTTCAATTTATTAGAAGGATGATGACAAAACTATTGATTTCGTCACCGAGAGCAATATTCGAAATGAGCCTTTTCAATGACGAACATATGTATCGCTCACTCGTCTCTCTATTCACTCTGTTCATAAGCAGACTGTAATGACTCTCTTTCTTCAATATCGTCTACTTTGCTCATAAAATTTTCAAAACCTAATGGAACATTTATGATTTTCAGTTATTCATTTTATTCGAAACAATAGCTATGTAATGTAAGCGAGTGTAATTCTCTCTCAAATGGCTCTAATAAAATAATAATAATAATATGTGAGTGAGATATGGGAAATGTGAACGAACGATTATTCTTTTCTCAACAACGATACTTAGTTCGTTTTGCAACGCAATGCGATAAAAATTGTACGAATCCAATGAATTTTTTTCCAGTTGATTGAATTAGGACAATTGCGCGTCTTAATAAAACTAATTCTGTTTATTTTTTCTTTCTTTCTCTCTCTCTCCCTCTCTCTCTCTTATTTTATAACGAAGAAAAAGAATGTTACAATTCAAGTTTTAATTATTTCATATATTATCTGTAAAGGAAATATAAGTGATTGTTGAGTTTTGAAAAGCAGAAAAATAGCATTTTATTAGAAACTATTCGAAAATTTTTATTAAATTGGATAATTCAATGGGAACGATAAACTTAATTGATGTAATTTAGATTATTCACACTCAATTCACAACAATTTATAATTCATTTCATTAAATTCATTAGATCTTTTACCCATTTCTTTAATTTTACTCTTTTCTATCATTCAAATTTTTTCTTAAACTTCAATCATTTATTTGTGATAGATTAGGACAATTTAGTCTGATTTTATCGACATTTGATACTAATACAGAAAGATTTTTCCTTGTAATTTACTTCTATCTTCAATGGAGAGAGAGAGAGAAAGGGAGAGAGAGAGAGAGAGAAAAAGAGACATTGTCACCCTTCCCCTTCGTACTTTCTTATTTACAATTAGGCCAGATAATTTCTATATAAAACATAATAATTCTTGGCTACACATTATCATCGATAAAAATGACCAAAACATGCACTTGTGTGGATGATCAAAGGCTTTTTCTCAGTTTTTTTACTTTAATTTTTATTGCCTTGAAAATCAATTTATTTGTTATTTCCTATTTTAAAATTATTCCACCTAATAATTTCTTTTCGCTAAATGCAATTAACGTTATGTGCTATCAAAATTGAAGCAACAAGAAAAGTGGAAGAGGAGGAAACCCAGCTGGTAATAAAATTATTATTCGGCTTCAAAATGATCCACGGAACAAAACTACTCTGTCTCATCGTAATTAATTGCTTGGCAAACTAGAATCTCTCTCATTAGAATAATGAGAGAGATTCTAGTTTGACTGACATACTTCCTGTATTGTCGAGCAAGAATTGATATTCGAAGGAACTATAGAGTTTGATGAAGTTTAACAGTCGCGAATATTAGTGGAAGAAGATATGATCCAATCATTCCTGCCAGCAATAGCTCCTATATTATATTATAGAACTAACAATCTCCCATTAACGTGATTGGTAGCCTTAAAAATTAAGGAACAAAAGTCGGCTCTATCGGAGTCAATCATGTCCGGAATATATTAAAATATATCGTCATTTTTATTGTACTGTAAGATTGTTGCAATATCACTTAATTAATAATATTAACCAGTAAATATGATGATAATATGAAATTACTGAAAATTTCCATTTATTTCAGATGAATAGTCAAGTTGGGAACAATCGCATTTCAAGTAATTGATTATAGCCAAAAATTCCGAATTTTAAATTAAGCTTCGATGATGAAAATTTTAAAAAAATATATTATAAAAATGATATATAATCAAATTATATTAGCTCGTTAAAAACAATTGTCTTTGGGAGTATTTTACGGTCTATACGTGTCTACGTGTCTTTACGTGTCTTTTTGGAGAATTTTCAACCATTTATAAAACAAAGAAGTTTTATAAATGGTTGAAAATTCTCCAATAAAATATATATATGCTAGCAAAATGATTGATAATAAGAATATTTTAAAGATTAAACATAATGAAAGAATATTATTATGTAAAGTAGAAAAAATAAATGAATGTGAAAGAAAAGTTATGCTAAACTATATTATCAATATCGTGGAATTTTTGCATAGTTATACAAAGGAATTTCGATTACGAATGATTATTGTTTGTATAATTGATTGAATTTTCTATCTTCGTATTTTTAGCGTAAGTTCAATTCCTCGAATTTATTACTCTCTTTTTTTTGCATTTAATTAAAGATGCGAAAGAAAAGGATAGGTAGATTTTGCATAATAATTGTCGATATTATTCCATTTTAAATCAATTTCCTCCCTTACATTTATATATATATATGTACTGGATTAATATATAATGTTATCAAATATGCTTGGATAGGTTTATTTTGATCAGCTAAATTTATGCATAAGTTAAGAAGCAGAAATTGTTGAAGATATAGTTAGCTTCTTTATGCATCATGTTCTTAAGTCCTGAAAGAGCGGGATGAATTAGGACAAAAAAAGTATGGTAAGGAAATATTTCGCTTTGAGCCGGTGAAAAAACGTTTTTTCAACGGCTCAAAAATGGTATTTTAATTATCGGATAGTAAGCAAATATCAGTTTGTAAAAGGAAGCGCTTTTAATTTTGCAATTTGTTCGTTTTGTGCGGCTACAGAAATGTCGTCGTCTGTAAAGCCTTATCACTCATCGCAAGAAACACTATTCGATCGATCGATTGATTTATTAAAGACATTTGAGCATTCGATAAATTTTCAACGAGCTCATATTTTGTCATTTTTGAAATCACTGAAGCACAACAACTACAGCATACTATTCTGCAAGGAAAAAAAACGGGTGGTGAAGTGGACTGATATCGACAACGGTCAATCGGAGCAATGGTTTATCTTTCTATTTTGCTCATTCAACTCCCAGTTTAACTCTCTTTTACTATCACTTCTTGTCATATTTCTCAAATAATTAATTTCATTTACAATAGCTTTCCATCTTGTTGATAAAGTGTGAACTTTTATCTTCACTGATATCATCAGTAATTCGAAAATATTAGCAACCTTTTGGTGTGAAAGTTAATCAATTATTATTTATGAGTTATTTTTACTTATTCATTTCTCTGCCGATATTTGTCCATTTTCTCCATCTTTTTATTCATATTTCTCCAATCCTCTCCCATAAAACTACCAGTATATTTCTGATAACATTTAATAATCAATTCCCTTCTTTTTTTTCTTTCTATAAACGAGAATAAGTTTTTCTATATTTCATATATCGGCTTTCAAAATGATATTTATTTGAAATTTGTAATAAAAATCATTTTCTTTTCTTAGACCGTTAATTAGTTATAATTGTTTGTATATAGGATACAATGAAATGATGGTAGAGGAAGCGTATTTGTCGTATATTAGGGAGAGGATGGAAAGGAAAAGAGAGGGGAAGAAAAGCAATAGTGATAGTGTTGCTGTTTTGCGTCTTATGATCGGTGTATATCTTTTGTTAGTTATTTCTCGATAAGTCTCTTGCATTCTTTTCATTTTTCTACAAATATAGTTGTTAAAAACAATCTTCTACATATTCTGTAGAATTTTTGTATATTAATTTGAAAATAATAGATATAGGATTCATTTCATGATTTGCTTGATCTTTATGAGTGGTTCAAGAATTTGATACTCTTTCTTCATTCATATCATTAATTCTCTAATATTTTGAATTGGCTAATGCATGTATGGGCTATATTATAACTTTTAAACCAACGATAACCGCTTGTTTATCAAAACTTGCTGACCTTGATACTTCTTCATATGCAGTTTCGTTATTCATTCGATAATTTTCAATTTGCTCATTTCCTACCTGCAAAGGGTCAAATGGATTGACCTCTATGCGGTTACACAGGCAATCTATCTTTTTTTTTTAGAGTGATGGACGATTTCATTGTCTACTTTAGAGCGGTAGATTTTTTTGAATCAGTTATAAAGGAAAATGATATTTCAGCATAAAGAATAGTTTTGTTAATTTATAATAGTAACAATATTGGTTTTCTAAGGTATTGGTTTTTTTACTGTACAAGTGGGGATTGTCCACGTTACCACATTATTTGTTGTAAAGCTGGACACGTTGGTAAATTCATGTTACCACATTATTTGTTGTAGAGTTGGACACATTGGTAGATTCACGTTATCACGTTATTTGTTGTAAAGTTGGGCACGTTGGTATCACAAGATTTATTTTCTGAAATAAAAAAATCGGATTGATTCAGGTGAAAGATCAAGTGTGAATAAACGATAAGTGGGAAAAGGTGAAATTGAGGAATTGATGAAAGAAAAAATTGACATTAAAATGGCTGGGATCGGATCACCGCGTAATTCATTCCCTGTTAATGGCAGTTTAGAAGTGTTACGGATGAAAATGGATATCGATTCTATGTCTCGTCAATCAGCTATGATGATTAAGTTTACTGATGAAAGCATTGCCGCTCTTAAATTAGCTCAAAAGACACGACAACCGATACGATTAAAAATTGATAAACAGGTTTGTTATATATGCCATACTTCTATCATTAAAATGTTGTCGCATTTAGTAAATGGATTTGGTATGTTTTAATCTTTAATTTTAATATTGGTGAACAAATTTTTCCTGCAATTAACTTCATCGAAGAGAAATGCTCTATTTTTTCTGAATTATGTCATCAAATGATCGAGGCTTTCTGATCAACGTGTAATAGGAAATCGCAACTGATCAATGAGAAAATCCGGATAATATGATGAGATATCATTGTACTTATACCTTTCTGCTGATTCAACCATCTAACTCTAACCCGAAATAGTCGGCCATCTAGTGAATTCTAGTCTTAAAATGATCAGAATTCTTTAGTTAGTTGATCTCTGATCTAAACTTCACTTGTTAGGTACCATTTATTTGTAGAAAGAATCTAGGTGAAATTCAGAAAAAAAGTTTTGTTCCATGATTTTCACCCATCCTAACATCTACTCTGTTCTAATGGATCGCAATAACTAGAAAATATTGTGGCGAAAAGAGTACTTTATTCTTCAGAATCTTCCCAGATTGATATTTCTGGCATTCCAAGTGCATCCTTACGATCAATATTTTCATTGAAATATTGCATTATTTTTATTCAACTTCCATCATGATTAATAGCATGTGAATTCCATCCTCTTTCTTACTTTAGTTAGAAAATTTTCTGGGAAAATTGAGAAGTTTTAAAAAAATTTATAAAAATTTACCCTTCTTTGACGGATCCGTATTCCATGATTTACCACTTGTTGACTTGAAGATGTAAAGCTTATTTTAATGAACTTTACAAAATTATAATCGTAAAAATTAAGAGAATCGGAAAATGCAAAGTTGTGTGAAAGAAGATTTTGGATGATATTTTGAGTTTTTTTTTACTACAGGGAGGTGCTATTGAAATCGGTTGTAGTGGACAGACAACCAAATTTCGTTTCGTCATACAGGAAGTACCGGGTGCACCAGCTGATGCTGTATCTTATGATTGTCAAAAGAGATACCGGACAGTGGCTACTTTTCATTCCAAAATACAGGCAAGCGCATACTTTTTTTCCTGGAAACTTTTATACTCTTTTAATAACGAGGATATACACATACTACTCTCCTATTAAATAAACAGATCTGAGATATTTTGATGAAGTGAAACAATTCAAGGTGCAGACCACTGCGAAAGCGCTTGCGGAAACACGCGATAAGCTTATTGAGGAAGAAAAAAAGAAACAAATGAAGGAGTCGTCAAGGTCACTTTTTTCATTAAATGTTTCTTAAATGAAGAAGGATGGATCAATATTGCTTCGTTTGAAAAATAATTAAAATAGTTCGATCCGGGCGACTGTTTTGCAGTACCACAATAACATGATTTCAAATAACTACTAAATTACGATCCACAAAGTGGCAAGGTATCATTATACAGGTGAATTAGACTGATTATTTCAGATTTAATTAGATTTTTAACAATTTCTTTTCCAGACATAAACATGAACAACATTCAGTAACTGTGAAGCGTGCAACGAATCCATTTGCAATCAGCGCTCAACGTCCAAGTTCATCATCTTCCGCTCGATCTTATTATTCTGATTCTTCAAGCAAAAGTACTGCATCCAAAGTAAGAATTAGATTATTCGCAAACTTTTTTTTCATTAACAATAACACTTTGGTAATATCCACTAAGTTTGGAATAATATCTTACATTATGAAGAATCGAAAGAGATTATTTTCAGAGAAAAAAAAAGGACTGCTGAATTATAGTTCCAGTAGTTTTAGTAGCTAGGTTCGAATCATGCTTTTTATTGATTTCGGAAATAAATTTCTTGCTGGTAATTCCTGAATAATCACTTTGTTAGATATTGTAATCAATCGGAGATGAAGTTTTATAATCTACTTTGTTAGATATTGTAATCAATCGGAGATGAAGTTTTATAATATTTTAATGAGAAATATGTAAAATTTTTTCTTTTTCCTATACATTTTTCAATTATCGATAGTGAAATGTTTAGAGTGTGGGTAACCAGCAGCAACGAATCTCTTCTAATGCATCAGCTGGTATGTAAATCTCCATTTTGAAAGACTTCGTCTTATTTTTCTTACTTCTAGCAATTATTTTCAATTTCAAATGTTTGTTTAAGTTTTTTCCGTTCAATATTAAAATTGGACGATGATTCATTCAATCAAATAATATTAGGAGGACTTAGAAATTAATTGGATGATGAATCCTTCTAATAAGTGCACTATTTGTTAACAATGTAATATATCTAATTCATAAGCCTATTGAAGCTGGTGCACGATCGTTTGTCCGCGCAGAACTTTCAAGACGACCGCTAAGAAAACGTGTCATACATTTGGTTATTCTTGGACGATTCTCTTCGGCAAGTGAAATTATTACGCAAATACGAAAAGATTCATTGAGTGAAGAGATTGCTCAGGAAGATGTTGATCGAATACAAGATATTACCGATGAGGTAATTTGTTGTGTTTATAATATAGCTCATTTATTTGACGTATTTAATTGGCTATTTTTGAGTTTTGATATAACTTTTCAAAAGAGATAGGGAGATATCCATTTCCAATGTATAATTAGAAAATATTCTTCTTTAGTGTGGAAGGCTACTTTTTTTGACTTCATTAAAATCATTTTTTTATTTGTAGAAGTTTAAATTGAAATTGTGTTTGTCCTATTTTTCGTCTTTTTGCATCACATTTATTTTGTCTAATTGATCGGTAGGCATATCATTGTTTTAGAGTGCATCAGCAGAAATATATCTTATTATTTCAAATGACAATACAAAATTAATTGGTTTAAGATATGTAAAGAATTATACTTTCGATAAAACAGAACTATTTAAAATTAATTTCAATTTCAATTTATTTATATTTGCTTCAATGATATCAGAGAATTTTTTTGAATAGAATTCCTGCAATCCACAATATGAAATTTATGTCTCCTAATTCTGTGCTTATGGGAATGTTAGTCATTCTTGTTAGGTCACTCAAAGATTTTTCCGAAATCCTAGAGCTCTCTTTGGCTAAATGCCTTCAAAGTCAAAATGATTAATTTATAATCATCAGTCAGATTTTCTTCTGTTATTGGTTATAGTATTTTACCTACTAATCTTCAATCCAATGTTTACTTTTAATATTCTGACACATTAGTTCTCACTTTTTTCTTTCCTATTAGTAACTTCCGAAAGATACGAAGTTTCAAATTTATCAGAAGTCCATCCAATATAATTCGATGTTGGTTTCTTAGAAATAAACTGTAGCAGTCACTCAATCATTTTTTTTATTCTTTCTGCTTTCAGGCTTTCATTGATTATTTTTTAATCAAGTGTGAAAATTTTTATGAAATCCAGCTTGTTATTTCTTTCGGAAGTTGCTAATAGAAAGAAGAAAGTGAAATTAATGTATTAGAATATTGAAAAGTAAATATTAGATTGAAGATTAGAAGATAGAATAAACAAGGTATAAATTTCTAGCATTCAGATTGGAGAATTGAATCGTGAAACTGGTCGATTGCAACTCAAACAAGTATACTATAATGAGGTTTTTTTTTTACTTACAGTTATTTTCAAAATAAAATGATGATGTGGATGATAATGATTGTATTATAAGAAGTTCAAAAGAGAACGTTGTGCTATGCTTTACTAAAGTAAGATTTATCACTGCTAAAAATTCTGAAAATATGGAATAACTAATTTGATTTTTTTTACTTTTTTATAGGTTGATGCACGTTGGCCAGGTTTTAGTTCAGATGAAAAAAGTTATGTAAGGAAGATTTTGTCCGGTAGCTTGGGTAATAATGTTTCAAATTTTGCACCGATACGAAAATCAAGAATTGTTCCCATAACGGCTCCTGGATCAGGAACGCTGATTAATAATGCAGCTTCATCAACAGATGGTTTGTTATTTATTTATTTTTTCACGATAAATTTTCAATTTTTTTTGCTGATGCATTAGCTTTTTCATTTACTTGCATGATGATTTATTTATTCAGTTGAATATGCATGAAAATTTTTGCATTAAAAAATTTATAAATTTAATGGATTGATCAACATGAAAACGAACAAAAAAATGAAGGAAGTAATTAAAGCTTAAATGTTCATTGGCTTTGTTTTTGCATCGATTATTTGTGGTCGAATGATTTCAATCTTGAAAAAATCGTAAAAAATTTAAGCTCAATATTCATAAAACATAGCGAAAAACAAAATTCTTTTTTGGTGAATACAGCATACATTTATATATATAAAGAAACATATTCAAATGGAAAAACTTCTGTAATTTCATTTAAATTCAACTAATTTCATATTTTGCATTTAATCAACGATATATTTTCAATCCTTACCTTATATCAAGCTCACTTAAGATGAGATCTTTTGATTGTTCCCAGTAAATCTTTTTTTATGTGACTTGGTTCTATGAATGAATAATATTTATTTTCATTAGATAAATCGTAAAGTTTGATTATTCATACATTTTATCATCTAAATTAATGAAAGTGTAATTTATTTTCGCAAACTTAATATTTTAAGCAAATTCCCTTCATATATTCGCAAAAGATGAATAATTCTGGTTTGAATATGAAAATTAAATTTATTTTAAGACATTTTTATTATACTACAAACATATATCTGAATCAAAATTCTTATAAGATGTGGTTAGAGTGAGATAAAATCTAACTTATAGTTTTGAAGTTTGTTTGTTTTGTTTGTGCTTTTATGCTTCTGTTTGTTTGTTATATATTTGAGGATCTTAATTTGTAATCATAAATAGTTTATCTCGTTATAATATCAATGTATTTAAAAGCATTTTTATTATTTGGAACGGTTGTTGTTTTCATACATTGTTGTACTTCTTCGAAATGATTATTCATAAATATTCATGCTTCGTTCTTATTGACAAAACTTTGCCTAATATTTCTTTTTCTTTCGTATTTAAAAAGTTATCACTTCTCATTTGTGATGTGATTGAAATGAAGTTTTTTTTTTTTTAATTTGACTTTACTCATGAAGCAAACCTTTATCAGTGTTCTTTTTCCCTTTTGGGACTTAGCGGAATATTCAACATATTGTATGATGATAATGATAATTTAATATTATATTTATATTTTTTAGAATCATCTTTTCGTGCTGTACAAAGCAAATCTCCGGAATCCACAGCTTCCAGCATTAGCTCAAAAAGTCCGGCTGAAATTAACAATAATGTAAATAATACGGGGATGGAGTAAGTTCTTTAAGTTGTATATGATATCATTTTAGCGAGTCTGAAATTGAAAATAAAAGTTAATTTTCTATTGCTTATTGGTTTTGATATCACTTATTTCGTTTACTTTACAGAGGTAAAGTGAATGATGATCTCAATAACTCAAGTGTGCTCAATTCAAAGCGACGTGCTAATTCAATAGCACCTCCTCAGATCACCTCCAAGCGAGTGCGACAGCAATCGTTATCACCACCGGAAGATCCATCGAATGCTAATTTAACCACGAATCCACAACAAACGGTATGTTTTCATTTTTTATCGATAATTTTGATAGTAGACATAGAGCTGATGGAAGTCAAAGCTGCTTGTGATTGCTCTATACCAATGGTATTTCGTAATACCTTTGACTTATCGTTATTTATAAGTGCATAATACTGCGTGTTTTTTTGTTCCAGTTGAACCGCTTTTTAATTTTAAAGCGGTAATACTGCGATTATTTAAGATATGCTGAAAACTTTAGCCAAATGTTTTTGAGATGTTTTTGAGAACTTACACCATTGTGATAATGGGACATAAATCTTTAAAATCTTCCAGCGAAAACAGATTTATTGTTTATTGACTTCTGTACTGAGTTGATTTCTACGACATTTCCTCTTATTTTACTTCTAGTTTATGATAGATGAATTTTTTACTCTATTCAGAAAAATACTGGTCAAAGTACTATTGGACTGAGTGATAGTGAACGACCAGCGGAACCAATGAGCTCTACAGGCACTGACTTATCGCCTAATTCTGCACCACAAACTAGTCGTGATTGGTTGAAGGAATTTCCAGAACCACGTAGTTTAGAAGAAGCTGAATTATACTACCTGAAGTTTCTGGTAATATTAATTTTTCTTCATTTTATTCCTCAAACTTGATACTTAGTACAGTAATTTTTTGAATTTAGATGGCGTTTTTGGACTTAGAATTACTAGCTTCGAAAATTTTTTCGACAAAACTTCTTGAGATATTCTCCTTTAAGATTGATTTTAAGCCAATCTTATTATCCATTTCATTGGATACCGGTAGAATCCTAGCTTTTGACTTGATAAATCCCGATGTTTTCTTTGGTGCTTCTTCCATTCTATAAAATAAAATTTCATTTGTTTGTTAAAACATGAATTCAGGAAGATTATCCAAAGTACCTGACATGTTATAATCTTCTGTCAGCTGTAGTAAACGAATTCAAAGGACTAGAAAAAAAGATGAATGAAGCGCCGAAGAATTCAAAAGAACATGAAAAGGTATGTATTTCAAATTTTGGTGCCGAAAAGTTAAGTTAGAATGTCATTGATCCAAATTAAAATTCTAAATGTAACTTAATATAATAATTGCATTTAATAAGCAATGTTTTTTCCAATCGTTCAAACAATGATATTTTACTAGATTTTAGACCGGGGATAAAGTGCAATGGTGATCAAAATTGGAATTCTAATTTATTAAAAAGAATGAATATAATGTGATTTCTTGGATTTTTTTTTCGTATTTAAGGCAGAAGAAGCAATAGAAATGCGATACATGCATTATCAGCGTAATCCAGAATATTTGGAAACAAGGCAGAAACATGAAGATTTGAGATCGAAGTTGGAAATTTTGAAGAAGCATGTAGATTTTTGGGAAAAAAATCAGGGAAAACAGCTTGCTGTAGATAAGACTAATTTAAACAACAATGGCAACAACAGTAATCACTATACTCCGAAGAATACTTCAGCATCATGATTTTGCTCCAGAATTCTTGCAGAAGTTTGCTATTCAAAATTTCTTTTCTTTTTTGCCAATTCGGCAATCTTTGATCACTTTTTGTTCACTTAATTGTTGATCCAGTCATCACAGCTAAATCCATTACTCATGGATCATTTTATTGAGGTCATAGTTTGTATTTTTTTCAAGAACAAATCTTCGTCCATCCATCTATTTGTTCTGAAATATGTAGAGAATAATAAATAGATTGAATGCTTGATTTTTGAAAACAAAAAAAATATATAGCGCTATAAGGATTTTTGAGAAATCTACTTACGTCTTTTCTCATGTAATCCTATCTTGTACTTTAATTCTAATTAATTCTAACAAATGACAAATGATTCTCTTCATCATGTAGTCATTTCATTGTAATATTGTATAGATATTGCTGACCTGTATGTTTCTAAATTACTAGAAACAATATAGAGGAAAGATTGGAAGAGGATTTATCAGAGGAACGTACTACCCATTTGATGAGCATTATTAGATTCATATTTCTTTTCAGTTCTTTCTGACGAATGTTTTCATCTTTTATTTTTTGTTTCTGTAACAGTGGGTAAACTCGCAATAGAGCGTTTTTGACCTATGGACTTCAATTTTCCAATCACTATTGGGAAATACACATAGGTCAAATGAAATTTTAAAGGGAAGAAAAACGATAAAAATCAATGACACAATAATTTTTTCAAAACTCTCTCAAATTTTTGAAACCTTAGACGCTGTGTTGTTCATTGAGAGTGCAGATAAGATAGCTGTGCGACTGTTTTCTTCTGGCGACAAATACGTTTGTATAAAAGTGTTTGACCTTGGTGACAAATACGTTTGTATAAAGGTGTTAAAATATTCTAGAGAAGAGTGTTCGAATAATTTTGGGGAAAAAGTTTCGTAAAGTTCACAGGTCATTTTTTTGTCTTTAGTTATTCCCAAAAAATAAATGCTTGCAATTAAAGTGAGGAAAAAAGATTGAATGGGTATAGCATAATTGCTTATGACTTATGATTCAGTCTTTTTTCTTCACTTTATTAAAACGCAATGGAATTTAGCTTTTTTTAAGGGATGAGAAATGTATAGTCGAAATTAGAAGGTTAATGTGAGGTTATTTCTTCCTTACGACCTTTTTCGAGGATAATTTTTTTTGCGACACAATAGATATCATCCTACCAAAGGAGATCTATTGGAATTATATCGCTAGCAGACTTATATCTTGATTTTCCTAGTAGATGTTAGCCTCAGAGTTATATTCAATGAAATTTGTGTGGACATCAGATGTTCATTTGTCAATTTGTAGCTCTCCTTAATTCCTATAAGGAATTAATAAGCCTTATCGTTGTCTTCTATGTGGCAACTTTTTATCAAAATCAATTGCTTGGCTTTTAAACTGTACAACATCAGCAGATGTTGTACAATCCTTTCAAAATTGAAACGGTTCTGAAACTTTTTCTTTCTTCATTTTGCATTTTCTTATAGTTTTATTTTTGCCTTTATTCTTTCCCTATTTCTAATATCTTTTATTTTCATGCTCGAATTATGCAAATGTCCACAGTTTTCTATCTCATTCTTTGTCATATTCGGGTTTAATTTGCAGGAGTCAGGAAAGCTAGCAAGCAAGCAAAAATGCAGTTTTATAGCTTAACTTCCAAATTCATTGAAAATATGGATTTGGTAAATTTCAAGTTGATGCATGATTGATAATATTTTCTAACCGAAATTCTCGAGTGCTTTATTTTATCGTTATGAAAAACATCCGTTTTGTTCGTAGTTGAAAATAGCTTCCTTTTTCGTGCTGGATATTTTGAATGGATCTATGCTGGGATTTAAAATGAACTCTATAATTACTCGTTATTTATCAAATCAGGCCTTTATACTCTATTTACATATTTCTTTGCTGTATGATTGGACTTTCATCATATTGTTCGACAAAGTTATTTTATTCAGCAGAATTCTGATGTATCTTTTTGATGCTTCTTTATTTCTGTCATACTAGAAATAATATAGAAATTTGAATTTTTAGATAGAAAATGGAAGTAAAAATACAGGAACATTTTTTTCTTGATTGCTTAACGGAATTATGAAATAACTGCTCATCAGAGCAAGTATTGTATTGGTAATAATTTATTAGTTTAAGGAATATTTTTACTGAAACTTAGGTAAAATTTCAGTATTGTTATACATGAAAATTGTGAGCTTCCTCTTGAATCTTTCAATGATTGTCATCTTGCTTATCACATCAATTAATTATCATAATTCTACGGTCATTATTCTGCGCACTTATTTTTTTTATGCATATGATATTTTGTGGATTTACTTTTGTCATCTTTCAGAAAACAAAAATTTTCTCATCTATCGGAATCTCATCTATCAGCTATCAGAATCGCTAGTCGTATTTTCATTTATTGCTTTTTATTTTCCAAGCATATTTTAACTTCTAACTTATCTAACGAAATGTCACGGAAGAAGTTGAGATGAAGAGAAATAGAAGAGGCTAATAGTTCAAAAATTAGGTAGCATCTAAAAAGAAGATTTTGTGATGTTTCGATGAATTCTCACATTCATCATTCATGCAAAGAAATATATGTACATAGTTAAGCATTATCTTCTGAATGAAGTGAAATTCATTCGTTTCTTCATATTGCATTCCAATACAACACTCATTTATTTAGAAATTTGACTTTAAAATGTCACCACAATTAGAACTTGATAGCGTACATTAGTTGTCCTGTTTCTAATTCTGATACAGCTGACAGATTGATCGATAGTCAAAATGGAATATTTCTTTTTCAATTCAATAAAAAAGAAGAAAAATTTGCCATAGGGAATGCATTCCAAGAATTTTGGTTTTTATCCATCTTATCTCTCCTGTTACATATAAAATTCCGGTTTCATTATTTCAACTGCACGCATTAACAAGATTCTTTTATGATAAATATTATCATTCATAAATATTACCATTTATCATAAATATTATCATAATTATTATCATTCATCTATTAACGCATACTCATGCATCAATTAGTATTTGGGGGCTTAATGTTTTAATTAAAATATTCAATATATGATTTTTCTTTCTGCATTTAAATTCTCACTCTTATATTTCCCTCTATATCGAACATTCTTCAATTTTATACAAAATTTAAGATTTTAAATTAAGTTGCAACTCATCATTATTTTTTCTTTGTATTCTTATTCTATCGGAGTGCTTTATGCATGACGTGTACCTCTGTATTTTAACCGGATTGGTTTGCAGTTGAAATTCATTCTTAGAAAATATTTATTTTCACTTTCTTATCTTAACGATGTTGAATTTTTTGCTGGTTCAACTATTCTGTGTTCAGGTTGCTCGTAAGAGTACCGACTATTAAGGTATAGCTTTTCATTTTGAAAAGTTTAAAGGCAAAAGCCAAAAAACCATTAGGAATTAGAAATAAATCTTCTAATCTAAAACATCATCAGAAATTTAAATTTTGTCTCAAATGCTTTTTTTCACGACAGTACTAGAATATTCTAAAAATCTACAAATCTAGTTTAATAAAAGCGAGGAGTTCTTTCTTCAGGACATATGTCTCTGCTTTTTGGATCTGCAATTTTTTGAATTATCGTAAGAGTAGATGGAAGAGATGATATTTCTTGTATTTATTCACCACCGATTAGTTTAATTGAAATTTCTTGAATTCAATACATTTATTACGCTTGGGATTTTGAAATTTGTGTTTGTACGTGTTTTTCATTTCAGGATTTTTGTGCTCTTACTTTCATTTCACTTTTTTCTGATATTTAAAAAACGAAATTTGAATTAATTTATGATATGAGAAGCACTGAATTTGTTTGTGCAAGAAATGATTCAACCATCTTGACTGAATAATTTCTTGCAAAAAAAAGAGTCTTTTAAAATTTAAGTTTGCATGGTTTGTAAGAATTAGATTATAAATAGGTAGAAGATAACTTTAAAGAAATGTTATAATAAACGCTTATCATTTTTTGTAATATATCATAAGGCTGATATTTATGGGTGTTCGTATGAATTCAACTAGTATATGGGTAGTACGTTTTTAAACCATCGACAAATCTTTTTTCAAAACTTTTTTCCTTCTGTAAGGAAAAAAACAACAAATTTTTTTTGCATAACTTTTCTTATTATTAATTTTGCTTTATGTAAACATTTGTTTTCGCATTACTTTTTTTCTATGTATTATTCTTGCCTAATTTAAGTTTCGGAATTTCATACTTTTGAAGTTTGCACAAATAAAATATGGGAAGAATGACTCGCAGTTATTTTTGCATTCATTGAGAATGACATTGAATGTTATCAGAGATAATTCTATCATTATTAGTGATATCGGGTTGTTCATATCCGTAGATATTATTAAGTCGTTAATCATTAAGAGATAACTTATGAACTACCATAATTAACCTGACATTTACAGTAGAACGAGAAAACTTTTCTTCAATTTCAATATCGCTTTTGTTTTACGAAACGATTGCTTGAGTACTGTTATATTAATTCATGGTTGAACTTGAGCGATGAGAATTACCTGTTAAGAAGATGGAGTTATAATACAGGGGGAATTTGAGAGATTGGAAATATACGTGAACTATACTAACTTCATTTTTGAAACGTACATGAGCTTTACTGACTTCATCTAAATAGCATCATCATTTATCGAATAAGATATCTGCTGGATCCACGGCAGAAACAGTCCCAATGATGCTAAAAATTCTGTTGCATGGAATATAACGACTGATAAAGGCAAAATTTCAATCTGATCATCACATACTGCAGAATCGGGATAATATGCGATCTCATATTATAACAAATCGTGGAAGTGATAAAATATTTCGAATTTATCAGTACCAATGTTTGCTTCATGACATTACATAGAACTGATAAATAAATAAGCAGAATTATACATAAATGATACCTTATTGATTTAAACCTGGGATGGAATCCGGATCCGTTCTTCACTGATCTAAACTACCGCATA